CTTCTTATTGTTGTACAGATTGAGGTGCTGTTATCAAGTTGTTTCTGTGAGTCAACAATCTGCCTTCTTTTTGCTTTCATCCAGCAAATGATTCCTGCTCTGCGCTCTGGAATGACACCGAGAGAAGATAACCCCTATAACAATACTTGACAGTTCTTCAGGTATTTGAAGCCAGCTGTTATGGGTTTTCACTGGTCTGATTCCTAAGGTTAACCTGTCTTAGTTCCTTCAGCTCTTCCTGTAGATCACAGCTTCCTGACACTGCCAGCATCTACTGGTCACATTACAGACTGTAGAGTTCTCCCCTGAATTGAGTGAGCAAAGTAACTTTTTCAGGTATCTGTTAGATTCCAGGCATTGGACCAACTAAACACTGCAAATTGTTTCACGTGAACTGCTGCCTCATTGCTTTTTCCTACTGTTTTGTGCTTACATGTTAGTCTAGGTGGCAGGCTTTTATTCCTGCTAAATTTCTTCTCATTGTTTGGGTCTGATATTTTTTTGCCAGGAAATAGAATTTGGCAGGGTTGGGAAGTAAAGTTTTGAATCTTAAGGCTGCAAAACTTTTTCTTTCTAATATCTTCTATTTCCATTGATAAGAGTATTGATCAGGATAGATAATAGGAAGGGAACCCTCTGGTCTTCCATGTTTACCCTCATTCCAGATTGAAAAAGACATAGTGATAAGACCGTAATCTTTTCTTTTTATGCCTAAGTATCCTTTGTAAAACCTTTTAGACCTTACAGCCACCTGTAAGGTTGACTTACTTGGAAGGCCACATAGCTACCAGTAGCACAGTGAGGACTAGAACACAGCCTAATTTCCCCCTCGTATCCTATTGTAGTTTTCAGTGGGATCCGTGCTTACCCTGAGGAGGAAAACTGGCTCCATCACTACCAACACAGCTACCATTGAGATCCAGGCAGCATCAGGAAAAAAGGGACATCTTCAGTATTCCTTAGCCTCATCTGCACTCTATTCATGATAAACTCAGCTAGCCAATATTTGAAATAATATAGCCATCACTTTTTCAGTTATAGCTGTTAAAGAAGCTGTGACTATTACCTGGACTATTATCTCACCTATATTACCAACTTATCTGTAAGGATATTATGAGAGGTAATTCTTTTTTCTAAAATTATTATATACCAGTCTTAACATTCTGTCCTTACCAATCTAGTAACTCTGATAAAATATAATAAATTACTTTGAAATGTTTTATACTAGAGAAGCCATGTAAAATATTATATTCTTTTCTAAATAGTTATCATTTATGTAATAATTTGTTCTCTCATCTCACAGTGAATAGATTTTCATTTTTCTGAAATGGTGACATTATTACCTTTCCAGTCTCTTGAAATCCTTTGCAGGACTCAATGATTTTTTAGTATCTTGCTAATAGAAAATCTTAGATAACTGATGAAAGTTTCTTTGCCATCTTGAAATGATACTTTGCTTGCTTCTGGAGGCTAAAACTCATTTGCAGTTATCAGAAGTTTCATATTACCTTTTTACATATCTTGCTCTATGATTCCTTCTATAATTTGTTGATTTTCCACTTTTATTTGAAAACCTTGCCATTTTGTAGCAAACATGGAAGCAAAACAGGTTTTGGATCTTGTTTGTGACATCTAGAAATCTGAAATCCTTTGCCTCTAATGCTGAATCTAACCCTTTCTTCTTCTTCTTCTTCTTCCTACTCTAAACACAGCTTAAAAGTCAAGTGGGATGTTTCCAGGACCTTTTTTCAAAACCTCAGTTTACTCCAGGTCTTATTCTTTCAGATATTATTTCTAGATATTTATGCTGCCCTTTTGAATTAGGTCTTATTTTTGAGTCTCTTTTTCATTTTCTGTGTGTCTTTTTAGACAAAAGATGTTAGTCAGAAAGCTCCTTATATAATCACACTCATTTTTTACTAATGCTTCCTTGTGTTCTTTTTCTTTGACATACTTCGCTTTCAATGCCACTTTTACAAATCTCCAACCCTCAGAAAAGTTTTTAAACAAAGAAAGAAAAAAATGAAGAACTCTCTTACCCATTATATGCTATATATCATTTTACAGTTCCTAATTTAGAAATAAACCTGTCTTTCCACTGAAATTTTTGAAATCTGTTTTCGTACTTTATTACTTTTTTATGGTCTTTGAGTTACTGGCAAGTACAAATTAGCCAAGAATACGACCAGGGAAACCTTCATACTACAGACAAATAGTTGTGATAAATGAGTTTGACCAGATGTTTTCCTCTTTGATTTAAGCAGAAAAAAATCTGGGGAAATATTCTTCCCAATTCATAGAGATTTCCTGTGGATAAAGCCTTGGCAGCACCAAACGGGATGAGAAAGGTCTTTGTAAAAGTAAATTGTTAGTCAGTGAAGTGTGATTACTATTATTGCTGGCATGCTACTCCCTTAGAATTATTATTCCATGTGGTGGAAAATTTGAAGATGTACAGGAAAATTATTAAATTTCCAGTGTATGCAGGCTTGATATCTTTCAGATCTGCTCTTTTGTATGTATTAAGGCATAGCAGATTAGGCTTATCAGAAATCCTGACATGTAGAAATAAGCCCTATCATTATGGATTAGCTGCCTTGGGAGCTGATCAGTTACAGTGATGCTAACCAGAGACAAGGTTGTGAACATAAAGGCTACCTCCATCAAAGTCGCTTGGGAACCTTGACAAGTGGTAGACGAAAAAGAGTTGGAACCATGACAAGCAGAAATTCATCTTGTTATAGTCAGTTCTTTGGTGTACACAGTACAGTGATGCTAGACCTATAGGTTAGAAGATTCTTTCCTTCCATTTATTTCATCATCCAGTCTCCAAAGTAGGATACTTTGATCACCAGAAAATGTGAAGAAAAACAACACATGAGAGCCCCATAAAACTTCTTTGTTATTTCTCTCATTCCAGGATTAATAACATGCCAGAATTGCAGATTTCTAACTCATCTGGAATAATAGCAACCATCGTATCAACCAGCATTTCATAAAGCACCTTACAAATGCTATCTCATTTAATCCTCAAAGAGTCCTATAGGGTAGGTGTAACTATTCCAATTTTACTGGTAAGAAAACTGAGTTTCTTAGAGTATCAATCACTTGCCTCAAGTGAAAAAAATAGACAATGACAGCATGAGGACATCAATGAGCACAAATTTCCTTCAACTTCCAATAGTGTGTTCTTTTCACTACATGACAACTGTGAGGAAATCTATGATTGCTTTAAAAATTCCATCAGAAGGGTTCAAAGAAGAGATAGAGGCAGAAGTTAGGGAGTACAGGTCTGTAATAAATTATATAAGAAGAAGGTAGACCTAAATAGCAAGAGCCTCAACTGGAAATGAAAGAAATTTGAAGAACCATTATATAAAAGGATTAGATGAAAACTATGTGATGATGAGAATGTCAGTTGCTCTTATTCTCAATTGATATGAATCATAAGATTAATTTAAAGTTAGCTCCACTTGCAATGAGCATATACCTTGAGTGAGAAATTTTTGTGGCTGTGACCACTAAAATGGGGATGTTTGTTACCACAGTATAACTTATGCTCTCTGACAGGTATATTCCCCCTTCTATGTGTCTATCCTAAAAGAACTGATAAACAGTGAAATGTACACTAATACAGCCTCTTAATAATGATTTTCCTCTTCATTTATTATTTTTTTAAGTAACAGATTAAAATCACATGGGATTTAAATATTTCTAAAGAATATGATACCAATACAGTAAAAACTAGGAAGGTGAAATGATCATATGGTAGTTCTATTTTTAGTTTTTTGAGGAAATTCCATACTGTTTTGCACAGCAGCTGCAGCAATTTACATTCCCGCCTACAATGTGCGAGGGTTACCTTTTTCCTACATCTTCACCAGCATTTGTTTTTTGTGTTCTTTTTGATAATAGCCATTCTGACAAGTGGGAGGTGACATCTCATTGTGGTTTTGATTTGCATTTCACTGATGATTAGCAATGTTGAGCACCTTTTCATGTGCCTGCTGGTCATCTGCCTTTCTTCTCTGGAAAAATGTCTGTTCAGCTCTTCTGCCCACTTTTTAATCAGATGGTTTGGGTTTGTTTGTTTGTTTGTTTGTTTGATGTTTAGTTGTATGAGCTCTTTATTTATGTTGGATATTAATTGCTTATCAGTCGTATCATTTGCAAATATTTCCTCCCACTCAGTAGGTTGTTGCTATGCAAAAGATTTTAAGTTTAATTTGGTCCCATTTGTTTACTTTTGCCTTTATTTCCTTTGCTTTAGGTGACAGATCCAAAAAAATATTGCTGTGATTTATGTCAAAGTGTGTTCTCCTCATTTTTGTAGGAGTTTTATAGTGTCCAGTCTTACATTTAGGTGTTTAATCCATTTTGAGTTTATTTTTGTATACACTGTTAGAGAATGTTCTAAATTCATTTTTTTACATGTAGCTGTCCAGCTTTCCCTACACCATTTATTGAAGAGATTGTATTTTCTCTGTTATATGTTCTTGCCTACTTTGTCATAGATTAATTGACCATAAGTGTGTGGGTTTATTTCTGGACTTTCTATCCTGTCCCATTGATCTATGTGTCTGTTTTTGTGCCAGTACCTTACCGTTTTGAGTACCGTAGCCTTACAGTGTAGTCTGAGATCCAGGAGCATGATTCCTTTAAGTCTATTCTTCTTTATCAAGATTGTTTTGGCTATTTGGGGTCTTTTGTGTTTCCATTCAAATTTGAAAATTATTTGTTCTAGTTCTGTGAAAAATACCATATGACCTAGCAATTCCCAGTGGTCAAAAAATAAAACAATAAAAAGCAAAGAGCAGTGGTCTACACACCTACTGCCCAGATCCTGATTTCTAAATACCTTTCTCCACTTAATGGAACCAGGGCTCTTCAGGAAAATGGCTGATTCCAGGGCTAGCACAAGGACAGTGAGCCTAGACTGCCATGTTGTGCCGGAAAGTAGAAAGTGTTCTAAAGATAGTTAGGATATGTCAAAAGAACACAGAAGCTTGCTTGAAGTGGTCCTATTTGCCAAATCTGGTCCAATTTGAGCACCAGTAATAAAGGTTATATATTAGCAATGGATATAATAATGTTAATATAGTATGTTAATAAATGTTAATAAAGATTATTTTATTTGCTAAAATTAGAATCCATTAGACCACACTGATATAAAGAGAAACTAAGTACATAGAGAAAAAGAGAAAGCTCTTCAGTAGAGTAGAAAGCAAACAATATAGAAGGAATGATGGAATTAGAAAATCACCATTTGGCAACCATTATGTTAATAATTGATTCACATGTGAAACAACATCAGATACTAAAATTAGTGCATGAAAGTTTGAGGAATAACCAAATTTTTTTTTGTCTCAAAGTGTATACTCACAAGATACCTATTAATTACAAAGAGAAATATGGTATCTTTACATTAGAATAACCTGGCAAATATCTTAACCAAGTGGTCAAAGTTAGTGTCATCAGTAAGTAAACAGAACTGCAGCTCACGCCTCCTGGTGTAGTTCACTGAGGAAAACATCACTTCCGTGCTGTTCCTGCCAAAATTGTATGACATGAGCCTAATCATGAGAAAACATCAGACTAACCCAAACTGAGAAAAATTCTACTAACTGCTTGGCCTATGCTCTTTCAAAAATGTCAAAGGCATGACCTGCAAAGAAGGCACAGAAACTGTTCCAGATTCAGTGATACTCAAGAGATAAGGCAATGAATACAACTCATGGGTTTTCTTGCTAAAAAGAACATTTCTGGGATCATTGAAGAAATCTGGATCTTCTAGGATTGTATCAATCCTAGATACTAGTATTGTATCGATATTAATACAGAGGACTAGATGTAGAAAATGTAGAGGATACTAGTATTGTAGCAATATTAATTTCTTAACTTTGTTAAGTGTACTGAGATTATATAAAAATGTTCTGGATTTTAGGAAATACACAATGAAGTATTGAAGGGTAAAGGAGTACTCTGTCTGCAACTTACTCTCAATGCAGGAGAAAACGTGTGTGAGTATATGTGGAGAGAGAAAAGGAGAGAGAGAGGAAAAGGAGGGGAAGAAAACAAATATGATAAAATGTTACTAAGATTCTGGGGAAAAGCTGTTTTCTTTGTTTATTCTTGCAATTGTTCTATGAATCTCAGAATTTGCAAACAGAAAATTTTACAAACAGTACTCTAGTGAACATCACTATCTATAGATATCTGAGTTATTCTAAAGATGTTACTGTAGGATAAATTCTAAGTGGAATTGTTAAATCAAAGAATATACACATTTTAGGTTTTCCAGAGAAACTAACAAAATTCTTCTGTTTTACTCTTGTGTATGATTTGACAATCCACAAATGACACAGAAGATAGTGCATTTCCTGACACCTCAACATCGATGAACACTGTCCTGCTTTTGAATGCAACTCTGACAAGTAAGAACTGAGATCTTGCTTTGGGGTTTTCATTCCTTTGCTTGGTAGAGAGGTTGAACATCTTTTCATATATTCAACAGTCATTTGAATTTCATTCTCTTTAAAGTGCCTGTTCATACACTTTGCCATTTCGGGTGTCATTTTTTTCTTAATAATTTATAAGAATTATTAATATGTTAAGAACAGTAACCAATGTAATATTGATTATAAATGTTGATTTCACTAGCGTAACCTGTCTTAAACTTTTTAATAGTGTTTTATAATTTTATATAATCAAATCAATCTTTTCCTTAGGGATTCAGGATTTCATGTCAGGTTTAGAAATGTCTTTTCTATCCCCAAGAATATAAAAACATTCTTCTATGTTTCTTTTTCTGAAATTTTATTATTTTATTATTAATATGTAAGTCCACCAAAGCTGTTTTGCTTTCTAGATCATTATTAAAGTCGTCTTTGGTGGATGATAAACCAAGTCTATATAAAACTTTTTTTAATGTATCAACAGAAGGGAAATTAATAGCAACCTGTAAAAGAAATGCTCCACACGTTCTATATTTTAAATGGTTGAGTCACAGAGTAGTTCAGTTTCCCTGGCTTGCTAAAGATTTATGACTGATTTGGATCACAAGGACAGGTTTGCTAGATTCTCCCCCAATCCCAGTCCTTTTAACAGATGACAGCGTGTGTAGGAAAAATGCTGTCACCCTTCCCAAATAAGCTATCTTTTCCCAGAAATAATATCTTAGAGTAAATATCCGCCTGGAGAGAATCAACTTGTTTTCTGCTTAGTTGGGGCTGGCAGGCAGCGTCAGTCCCTTTGATCCCTTGAAAGCACATGGGCCTGTGGGCTGCCACCCTCTTGAAGGATCCTGTCATTCCCTGTCAATCCGTATTAGACAAGGATGGTGTTTTCTAACAATTTATCTCCTTCAAGGTGATTTACTTATTTTCTGCCGAGATTATGCTGGAGGATGTCGTTACTTTTGTCCTGTCTGTCTCGTTATTTTTATTGCCAGAAAATGTTGTCGTTTACTTTCACTGATAATCCATCTCTCTGGGAGAAGATTGTATTCATACTTTCATGCTGGGTAAAAGCTCCATTTTTACATGGAAAAACATAGAAATAAGTTTTCTGTCTCTGTTCTTTGAAGACGCTGTCATAAATAAACAATAAACAACCCTGAGAAAAAAGGGCTTTGAAAGTAGCAACATGTTATGAGCAGAATACTTCAGCAAGAAGAGAGCATCTGTATAAGCATTCAGTTACATGCAAATCGACCTCTTTGAATCATACCACATTGATTAAGAGGAAAGCTTTGGACTTAGTCATTGCTAGCGAGGAAACACTGAATGTGTGTTACACACGCTTGTAATTTCACTTGCCTTGTCTGTAAAATAGGAAAATGGTACTGTGCCCTAGTGTTATTGTGAAGATTTAAATACATGGAAAATACTTGAATACTACTTGGCACATAATAAGAAATCAAGGAGCATTAGCTTTTGTCATGGCCATCATCATCATTGTCATAAATAATCCTTATATGTTGCAATCATAACTATCTAAAATAATTAGATTCTAAAATAGCATAACATATTTAATCCTTAATAGTATTATCTATAATACACAACTGCCCTTGTACTGGATATTGACAGATATTGATGGGACCAAAAGCTTCTCATTAATTCATGAGCTATTAAAACAAAGAAATCTGTATAGCAGTTACAGACTGGAATACTTTTAATAATATAGCTTTAGTTAAGTCAGGCCTCTACAAGATAAATTTTCCATTTTGGGATAGTAACATTTTACCATAACTACCTCTGTAATTGAAGAGGACTGTAATGGACTTGCTGTAAATAAAGTAAGGCTTCTTTCCCATGGTGTCTTCTGCCTTTTTTGTGGACCGTTCTGGGAAAGGCCTGATATCTCTTTCATTTACACCTCCAACAGCTCCTTGCACAACCACTAGATTTCTCATCTTATGATTCCCTGACTCCTCTCATATCCCCTCTTGTTCAAGTCCCTGCTCCAATATTCCTCCCAGCCACCCCTACCACCATCCAATTTAGAAAGGTTTTATGATTACTCTTGTTCTGTTATTCTTCCTTTTTTATGAAAACAACATTTGATAAATGTGGGCACTCATGTAGCCCACACATCTGTCAGGATATAGAGCATTTCTCTGTTCAGGAAGGTCCTTGTGCCCCTTTTCCTGGACAGTCCCTCCTACCCAGAAAATAACTCTATTCTGATGTCTATCACAAAAAAAATGAACTTTGCATGGTTGAGAACTTCATGTAAGTGAAATCATGCAATACATGCTTTTTGGATTCTGGCTTCTTTCACTGAGCATAATATTTTTTGAGATGCATCCACGTTGCCGAGTATGCCACTAATTTGATCTTTTTTTACTGAACAGTATTCCATTGTAAGAATATACCAATTTGTTTATCTGTTCTCCAATTAATGGACAAACACCTGGGCAGTTTCAAGTTCTTACTATTATGAATAGATCTGCTATAAACGTTCTTCTACTAGGCTTTCTGTTCATCCATGATTTTCATTTCTCTCAGATGAACATTAGGAAGTACAATGCTATGTAAATACATGATTTTTAACTTGAACTCCACAAGAAACTAACAAACTATTTCCCAAGGTGGTTTACCATTTTTATTCCCACTAGCGTTATGAGAATTCTGACAGCATTTGGTTTTGCAAGTTATTTTTTGTTTTTGTTTTAAATATTAAGCCTGCTTATAAGAGATATCTTGTGGTTTTTATTTGCTTTCCTGTGCTTGATGATGCTGAGCAATAAGTTCTTTGTCAGATATATATTTTGAATATTTTCTCCCCATTTGTAAATTCATTTCTTAGTGGTGTCTTTGGAAAAACAAGTTTTGATTTTGATGAACTTCAATTAACAACGTACTTTTCTTTCATGAGTAGTGCTTTCTGTATCATTGCTAAGAAATTTTCACTTTGCTCAAGATTGCAAAGCTGTTTTACAATGAATTTGTCTAGAAGTTTTAACAATTAGCTTTTACGTGTAAGTCTATAAGGCCTTTTGAATTAATTTTGGTGTATAATATGGAGTCGCTAGAGTGGTATGTTCATTTTTCCCCCGTGGATATCCAATGTTCCCACACCATTGGTTGAAAAACTTTCCTTTGCCACAGGACTACTTTGGTACTTTTATATTAAATCATGTGACCATATGTACATAGGTTTATTTGGAGGTCCTTTATTCTGTGCCCTTGATCTATTTGTCTGTATTTAACCAGTACCACACTGTTGTGATTGCTGAACCTTTATACAAGTTTTGAAATTAAGTAATGTAAGCCCTCCAACTTTTAAGATTGTTTTGGCCAACCTAGAGATTTGGGCAAATCTTCCATATAAGTTTTAGAATCAGCCTGTCAGTTTCTCCAAAATGTCTTGTATTTATTTTCATTAAGATTTCATTTAATATGCAGATCAACTTGGGAAGAATTTATATCTTTTTTCCCTCATTGTGTTAACAGTTTATTAAGAAGTTCTTGAGGTAGTCAGATTTTCACAGAAATAAAAGATTCAAAAAACAAAGTAACCTCCATCAAAATACCGTGCTATTTGTCCATTTTCAGGGTCTATCCTTCCAAATCCTGTTTCAAAGCTCCTCTGGTTTCTTTCCTTAGGGACTAGCCCTCTATTGCAGATAATAGTTTTCTGTTACTCCAGGACTCTGTCTCAGCTAATAATGCTCAAGGTTTTAAGGGAATTTTAGGAAGAAATTCTTAGAATTGAAAAACTTTTCATAGTCAAATGAGTGAATTGTTAATGGAGGAATTTGGGATAGTAAGAAAGACATTTTTGGTATAGAGCCCTACAGACATTTATTTCATGTCAAAGGGATAATCTAGTAGTCTGCGTATTATTAAATTCAAGTCACTGTCTTACCAAATATTCCCAAATATACTACCGAGCATCTAATAACACAGGATAATATACACATATAAATGATAGAATTATTTTATCCAATAACATTTATTAAAACTTTCATACTGCGTGTTACTGTTTTACTCGTCTTTTGCCAACCCTCAGCAAGGGAAGAATTTGTAGCTTAAAACTATTGAGTCTTCCCATCCAAGAACATGGTTTAGCTTTTTATTGATTTAAGTTTGTTTTAGTTGCTCTCAGTAGTGTTTTGTAGTTTTCAGTGTAAAGATTCTACACTTTTTTTGTTAAATTTATGTCAAAGTATTTTGTGTTTTTGAATGTTGCTGCAAATGCTGATTTTTTTAAATTTCTTTTTTCAATTGTTCATTGTTTTTGTAGAGAGAAATAATTGAGTTTCATATACTGACTGGATTTTTAACATGTTAAATTTACTTACTTTCAGTAGGTATTTGGAGATTTTTGATAACTTTTTTGTACACAACCATATTACCTGAAAATAGTTTTGTGTTTTCCTTCAAATCTTAAGTCTTTTTTTTCTTACTGAATTGGCTAGAATGTCTATCTGATAAAATGTTGTACAGAAGTGGGGGAACTTTTAACATTTCAGTACTGAGCAGTAGGCTTTTCATAAGTGTGTTCTGTCAGATAGATGAAGTTTCCAACTATCTCTGGTTTCTTGTGAATTTTTATTATGAATATTTGCTAAATATTACCAAATACTGTTTCTGTATTTTTCGCAATGATGGTGGGGGTTTCCCCACTTTAGTAAACTATTGCAATGTAATCTGAATTATGTTGATTTTTGAGAGTTAAAAGAATCTTGCATTTATGTCTAAATCCTATGTGGTCATGATGTGTTACGGTTTTAATATGTATTACTTATGTTGATGTGCTAATATTTTATTAAGATTTCCTGCAACTATGGTTATGAGAAATTTGATTAATCATTTCTGGTAGTATTTTAATCTGATTTTGGTAATAGCATTACAAGGGCCTTACAAAATTAGAATTGTCTTTTTCTCCTCTATTTTCTGAAAGAATTTGTGTAAGTTTAGTATTATTTCTTAATTAAATGTGTGGTAGAACTGACCGGTGAAGCTATCTGGGCCAGGAATTTTCTTTGTGGAAAGGTTTTGATAAAAGTTCAATCCCTGTAACATTAGAAAGTATATTGGCTTTTTGTTGCAGTGTAACAAATCATCCCTAAAACTTAGCAGCTTAAAAGAACAAACATTTATTATATCTCATAGTTTCTGTGGGTCAAGAAATCAGGGAGCAGCTTCTTCAGGTGCCTCCAGCTCAGAATCTCTCAGGAGATTTCCGTTGAGCTATCAACCTAAACTGCAGTCATCTGAAGTCTCAGCTGAAGGAGGATCCACCTTAAGCTTACTCTTGCGGTTTTTAGCAGGTCTCAGAATCTCTCTGGTCATTAGCTGGAAACCCCGGCTCCTCCCTTTGTTGGTTTCCGCCTGGGCTGCCTACCTGTCCACACAACATGGCAGCTGACTTGCCCCAGAGTGAGTGATGCAAGTAATATATGTGTGTGTACATATATATTCATAGAGAGAGAGACAGAGAGAACATCCCATTATGTCTTTCATAAGCAGATCTCAGAAGTAACATGCCATAATTTCTGTTGTATTCTATTGGTGTGAATACTAGTAGTGCTAAAAGAACAAATCAGTACAATCATAAGCAGTGGGAAAATAAATATGTAATTTTTTAAAAGAAAGTATTTCCCCCAGTAATCTCT